CTGGCAGCCCTAAGGCTGTCAGATAACATCATGACTCTGTGCCAGGCTTTGTGGTCACTTACAGCAGCTATTTTGTAGTTACTTTACACTTTGCCATACAGTTAAGCCTTTAAGCTGGGCAGAGGCAAGTTAAGAGACTTTTCTGCTCCTGGGAGCCATTACCTCAATAAATGGGAGCTTCATGAGGAGAAATAAAATGCAGCATCCTCAAATGTATTCAGAATTTTGACCTCTTTACATTTCTTTTTAAAAACCCAGCTTTTGTGTGCACACATTTTCTCTACATGCCGTAATACATTTCAGAGTGTTCCCAAACAGCTGAGTAAGTATAAAAGACAGGGGTTGCCATGCTCTTCAGAACCACTGATGCCCTATCAGGCACTTTACTGGCTCCAGGCTTTTTTAATGATGATAAAGGATTTCATAAATCAAGCCCAAAATAGCAAACATTATTTACTTACTAAGAAACCTTCCACAGCAAGTAAGACTGCTCTTATTTGTTATGGTCCCTCACCTCAAAAGGATCTGCTATTCTTGCTTAGAACCTATTACTTTTCAAGGCAGGGCAAGGTTGGTGTTTTTCTAAGTTGAGTTCCATGCAAAGTATCTCTGCCTGCTCTCTGCATTCATCTTATGTCTCTCTTCTTTGGCACATTCCTTGCAGTTTTAATATGCACTGTTTCATATTCACCATGTCAGCAAATAATCAGTGTCTTTTGATTCTCATATTTTATCATTTCTTGTCTCAAAAAAAGTTAAATACTTTTATTTAAATAGATCTTACCACTGTATGCAGCACACAATAGAAAATGTAAATATCTTCTGCTAATCCACATCTGCCCGTGTGTAATTACCGGATGCATGCTGGTTAAGCTCTTTTTTTTTTTTTTTGAAAAACCAGCTTTTTAATTAAAACATGTGCACTTGGAGAAAGTAGAATTAAACAAGGCCATTCTTTTTTTAAAAAAAACCCTGTATAATATGGCAGATCTTTATAGAACAGATCAGTTTCTTTTTCTTTCTCCTCAGCAGTTATCTTCTCCACATATTTCCCGTAGTTAAGCTGCCAGTGAAAAAAGAGGGACAAACTATATGATACACTCAAGGGGCAAAAAGCCCCCTCTGCCCCATGCTGTTGCCATTTCTGCTAATGAAAACTATGCAGGAGGTAGACCAGAAGCTCCTTCTCCCCCCTCTCAGTGTTCCCTCACAGCGGCGAGCAAATAAACACTTTTTATGGTGAGTTCACCAGATATATGTCTGACTGCAAGTCTGATCATGCAGCCATGACCCAACAAGTGTTAGACATATAGTATACACCTTTGCTGACCTATTGTCCATCTCCCTGCAGAGACTTGAACCTTGGTTCTCATACTCTGAGAGGCACTGGGTGCGTTCAGATGGGCAGCTAATCCCGCCATTATGCCAGTTTGAATTTTATCCTGATCTTTTTAATCCATCGTAGCACGACCAGGCATCCCCCTGGTGAATCGCCTTACCGCGCGCTGCCTCCATTGTGGATTGTCTAGACAGCATCCACTGAAGGAGGCATGCGTGGTGGGGTTTTTTTAAAAAAAACCTTTTTGCGCATGCACATAGGGGTTACAGTGCGTCCTTGTTGATCCGTGCATATGTAGAGATTTTTTAAAATGGTGCCCGCTCGGGATGGTCTGATGTCAGACCACTCTGACGGGAGGATTGCACGATCAGATGGGTGAAAGCCCGCAGTTGTTCTGCAGGTAACCGAAAACCCCAGATTTAAAGTGTTATCTTTTAAGTACAGCTCCAAAGCGCAGCAAAACGGGGTGCCCACGGAAGAGGGACATTTCCCAGATGTTTGTGTCTGGACATTACCTTTAGATCCGTGAGGCAATCATGCCTCGTGCGGATCTAAAGAGTCATCTGATCGGACTCACAGTCTCTTAAGGGTATCCAGTCCTGGTGCATCAGAACCTGCAAGGCCTGGACTTGGATGAGTTTGCTGGATAAGTCCTTGGAGACATCCAGAATAATGGCCAAAGCATTTTTGGAGGAAGCTGATTAAAATTATCATGGATGAAATGTTTTAATCTTTCTGTTTTAATTGGTGTTTTGATGCAATTTGAAAATGCTTGCTGTTTTCTTTGAGTTCCTCAACTTAGAAGTATGATGTATGAATATGTACATCCTGCACCTAGCTTGTTCATTTGGATAAGCACAATGCAGGCTGGGATACCAGCTAGGCATCTGTGCAGGGAGTGGGGAAAACAGCAAGGTAATGAAGCCAACATTTGTTTATGCAGATCAAGTTTTTAATGACTGCTGGTGAGCTGAACCTTGGTGTCACAAACTAACTAGCATTAAATGTAAATATGGTTTCACATTATGTCTGAATCAAGCCAAAGAGTCTTGTGACACCTTAAAGACTAATGACTTTATTGTGGCATAAGCTTTTGTTGTGAGTCAGAGCTTAGTTTGTCAGATGTGACTGAACCCTTCCAGTCTTCTCTGTAATGCCCATGGACATTCTTCTCCACTGGCTTTTGAGTGTTCCTTGCTTAAAGGTTGCAGTACTTCAGCAGAAGAGTTTCAAAAGGAGACTCCAGAGAGAAGTTGCTGAGTTGGAATTCATATGCAGGTTTGATACTATCAGTCTTGGACTCTATAGGAACTTTGTATGGTTAACTCATTACAAAAAGTAATTTGTTCTTCTTTTCAGGTTTATGTTCACTATTCAGATTCATTCTGCTTTGCTAATTCATCAACAATTGGTAGCGGTGTGCATGCTCCAACTCTGAGTCGATCGTTTACTTTTTTTGACTGCATGTTATTTTTGTGTGTGTGCTGAAAAGTAATGCAGAATACCTATATCCTGGGAAACTGGGTCTGAGCTCTGTTTGTATTAGCTCCCCACCCTTGTCCTTCTGCTGTCTGTATAAGATTGGATGTTTGTATTTCTTCCAAATGAATGTATCTGACAAAGTAGGCTCTGGCTCACAAAAACTTATGTCAAAAATTGATGTTAGTCTTTAAAAGATCAAGTTGACTCAGTTGCTCATATCATTTTTAGTTACCCCCGTTATACCTCACTTCGTAACCAGTATATTACTCCCTGGACTGACCCTCTACAGAACATTTCAGAACAACAGAAACTAAAGATTTTGTTGTCAGGCAAGATACAAAAGTGCCCATGTGATTTAGCCGTATTTATCTATATAGTCATAAATTACTTATAAATATTCCAACCCATAGCTTGTAGGCTGTTAAGTTTCAGGGAAAGGAAAGTCTTTAAAATGCCAGATATTTGTTTATTTGACAGTAGCAAAATAAGACGGCTAGCACTGTGGAATTTAACTTTGGCTTTCTGTCCATATTAAATGGAGAAGGGTCTAGTAACCCCCCCCCCCCAGCACATTTATGCCCACTGGTTTCAGTGTGAGAATTAATAGCCTGTTTATAGTTCAGAAGAAATGCCTGCCAATTCCTAATAATGATTAGAGTACTAAGTGCAGAGAGGTGTGTGCGTGTGCATGCACTTGTGGTGGTGGTACTAAACAGTACTGACTACTGGTACCTTTTGTCAGGGCTCTCCCAAGTCTCAAAGGGGGAACTTGGTGGAAATTTGCACAACCTTATATATTACTGGCATCTTTTTGTTGACAAAAAAATACAGCTTAAGTGTATGCTTTATGTTTCTGTTGATTTCAACTGGAGAAAGTTACGTGCTCTAGGTTGTTTGTGCCCTGTCTCTGTCCAGGTTTGGTCTGGGCTGCTGGAATATGTCACCAGAGAGGGAAAACGGGCATTTCAGTTTGACTGTGTATGTGATGGAAGTGTGAAGTGTCAAATGTCCAGGCTGCTACAGTCAGGGGTCATTTCCTGCAGGAGTGGAGCTCCGGCAGTAAAGAGCCCAGGTGGCGGGCACATGCAACAAGCCCCACCCCCTGCTCCCAGACAGAGCAAGCAGCAGCCAGGTAAACTGCAGAGCCACCCCCCACCCCCTTGGCCCAAAACAGTCCAGTGGCACCTTTAAGACCAAGTTTTATTCCGGTACAAGCTCTCCCTCCTCTGCGAGGACAAATCTGCATGTTCCCCCTCCCCCCAATTGCTAGCAATCCAAAACAGTCCAGTGGTGCCTGAGCGGTGGGTGCTGCCTTCTGACACACTTCTGGTGATGTCAGGGTGTGTGGTCTATGCAAATAAGTTATGCTTATGAGTTATGCTAATGAGCTCCTGCACCTCTTTTTCCACGAAATGACCCCTGGCTACAGTTATTGTCAGAACAGCATGATATATGAGAATAAGTCTAATTTGTATATCCTGTGAACTTAATCTATAAGCATACGTCCTATCCTGATTCTGGCATGAGATGAACAAAACATAAAGCTGCTTTAGATTGAATCAGACGATTGTTCCCTCACAGTCAGTATTATCTACTCTCTGACAATGGCTCTTTAGGGTCTCAGGCAGAGGACTTTCACATCACCTGATTCTTTAACTGGCAATGCCAGGGTTTGAAACCAGGGCCTTCTGCATGCTAAGCAGATGCTCTACTGAGCCACAGACCTCTCAGCATTTTGACTAAAACGATGCAAATTTATAATGACACATAATATCACTTATACTGGGGGGGAAATAAATCTTGTTTCATAAGGCAAATCCAGATTTAGGTTTCAGATGAATGTAGAATTCAGATTTAAATTTCCATAAGAAACTTGGGATAAAGGGAGTACTTATATATGTGGTTATGGAGAAGCAAAGACTGTCAACCTATTAGAGATTAAAGGTCCCAGTGCCTTAATTTAGATATATTTCTTTTGAAAAAAGTGAAATGCCTCTTCATCTACAAAAGCTATTTTTGTTGGCAGCCATGCTACCTCAAATGGTAGAATCACTTTAAACTAATTTTATCAGTAGCCACTGGAGAAAGGCAATCTTTTCTGAAGATCCAAATTCATTCACTCTTGTAACACAAGCATAGTTGGAAGTTATCTCATGTCACTATTTTTTTTTCTTTCTAGGTGATGTCATTGTCTATATTAATGAAGTTTGTGTCCTTGGGCATACTCACGCAGATGTAGTCAAACTCTTCCAGTCTGTTCCTATTGGTCAGAGTGTCAACCTGGTGCTATGTCGTGGATACCCTCTGCCCTTTGATCCCGAAGATCCTGCCAACAGCATGGTGCCACCTCTTACAGTCATGGAAAGGCCTCCTGTAGTAGTCAACGGAAGACATAACTATGAAACTTATTTGGAATACATTTCTAGAACTTCTCAGTCTGTTCCAGATGTAACAGATCGGCCACCACATTCCTTGCACTCCATTCCAGCAGATAGTCAGCTTGATAGTACATTCCCACCACCTGTTCATGATGATAATGTATCCATGGCTTCTTCTGGGGCCACACAAGCTGAACTCATGACCTTAACCATTGTGAAAGGGGCCCAGGGCTTTGGCTTCACTATAGCAGACAGTCCCACAGGACAGAGGGTGAAGCAAATTCTAGACATTCAGGGATGCCCCGGTTTGTGTGAAGGTGACCTCATTGTTGAGATCAACCAGCAGAATGTACAGAACCTGAGCCATGCAGAAGTAGTGGATATACTTAAGGAATGTCCAGTTGGAAGTGAGACTTCTTTGATTATCCATAGAGGAGGTAAGTCTAGAAAGTCTGCACCATTACATTAATATGTCTGAAAGCATCTAAAATATGCTTGCTATATCACTATGTGCTGTTTGGAAGACTCTTCTAAGTCTGAAAAAGACAAAAATATAAAAGTGATGAGACATGTAGGCAAAATGTAATGTTTTACTGTCAAGCCCTTTATCACTTAACGTTTTGAGAAATTAACACCTACAAGTATTTTGTGCTTCTGTAGGAAAATCTTAAGTGTCACTAACTTCCTCAGACCCCATTTTGCATTACATTTGTATTTACTGATGTTGCAAGACTGACGGTGTTCCAGTATTTAATTATAACTTTCATATATAGCCATGGAAGTCTAAAAATCTATTCAAGAACAAGTTAATACAGATACAGGTTGCTAGTGTGATACATTCATACATTCAGATCTCCAGACATAAGAGTTGGTTGTCAGAATGATTTCAGGTTAGGAAAATACAATCTATCTGAGTTAGCCCAACTGTATCAAGAAATTTAATTACAGATTTGATCATTACCCCAATGGCATGAATTTGCTAACTTATATCTACTAGGCTTTTATGAGCAATTACTACAGGTTAGATTTGATGAAAAGTTACCTCATGGAAATGACTGAACGAATCCCAAACAAAGAAGAAAAGTAGTGATAAGTAACTCTAAGGAAAGACTATGTTTGTTGAAATTGTTAAGTGATAAGTTTTTTCCCAGCCCCTCTTAAGCAAACAATGTTAGGCTGCGATCAGACAGGCACTTTGGTCTGCGGTCATTGCTCCTCCCATCCTGAGTTAGAGTGTTCATTCAGACAGCAACCTCTGGCTCCCGTCTTGCAGCTGTCAGGCTCACATCCTTATCTCTGATTTTCCCGACCCTACAGAATGTCCAGTATTTGCTGAAACTACTGACATTATTGCAGATCTGTGGATATCTGGTCAATCTCCCATGCAATCAAGATGGCATGGAAGGGAACCGTCCCTTCTGTTTTTCACTCCGTTCGTGATATGCGCATAACCACATAAACGCCAACATGTATTATCAAATGTGAGGGTGCTCCTGTGCTTTATTTCTTTTTTGGGACCGTGAATGTGAGGGGGAGTATCCTGCAACTGTCACAGCACTAGCTGGGTGATTTTGTATTTTTATTGAGGTTTGATATTAGTGCAAATGGGCAGATATCTATGGCAGCTGTTTTTGAAAGCGGTGATTTTGGAAGCGGTGATTCCAGTTGGTGTTCCTGCACATGCACAAAAAAACCACGAGTTCAAGTGCCTATGTGCATGCATAAATACAGAACGTTAAAAAATCTGCCAATCATGCGCCTGGTGGTTGCCTGGATGCTCAACCACAGAGTCAGCATGTGGTGGGACAGGTAAGAGTGGAGCTGTCTGGCCGAACCATAGCCAAAAAAAAAATCTAGATCAAATTAGAGCCACAACAATAGCAGGATAAGCTGCCTGTCTGACCGCGGCCACAGTGTTGAGAATGTAAAGGTATGTGCCTAGTGTTTCATTTGTCAGGCAATGACTGCCATCTGTCTATTATAACATTTCATCCTGCCTTTCCTCTAAGGAGCCTGGGGAGCTCCCAGATCTCCCTTCCCAATTTTATCCTTCTGACCACCCTGTGAAATAGGTTATGTGAGAGGGAATGACTGCTCTAAGGCTGCTCAGTGAGAGACATAGAGCTCACTGGGCAGCCTTAGACTAGTCAGACATAGTCAGGATTTGAACCTGGGTCTCTCCATCCCAGTCATATACTAGTCAACATGATCCCTCCACAATTATGTAGAAAACAGCTTCATTTCATATGAGTGAAGCAGGATCCTTCCCTTCTTTATACCATCACTATGTCAAGCATGAGTGCTGGGCACTCTCCGATGCAGCTAAGCAATATACGTCAAACTATGGCCCTCATATGGTATGCAGCACCAGTTTTGCTTCTGCTGAGAGTAGTCTACATGCTGGGCAGGAGGATCATATACAAATATCCTTCCTGCATCCTAGGAAGGGATGGGCTTCCAGATGGTCATGGGTGAAATATGGAAGGGGCCCTGTTTGGGGAAGGGTGCCTGGTTGCCCTAGAATGCATCCATCATGGTAGCTTGGTTTGGTGTAGTGGTTAAGTGTGTGGACTCTAATCTGGGAGAACTGGGTTTGATTCCCCATTCCTCCACTTGCAGCTGCTGGATGACCTTGGGCAACCCATAGTTCTGTCAGAGCTGTTCTCTCAAGGACAGTTCTGGAAAGAGCTCTCTCAGCCCTGCCTACCTTACAGGGTGTCTGTTGTGGGGAGGAGAAGGGAAAGGAGTTTGTAAACTGCTCTGAGATTCCGAGTGAAGGGCGGGGTATAAATCCAATCTCCTCCTCCTCCTCCTCCTCCTCTTCTTCTTCTTCTTCTTCTTCTTCTGCTTTGTGAGGGAGAAAGGAAGCAAGGTTGCAACCTAGAGCTTAAAGAATGACTCACCTGGAAGAACAACCAACCCTGCAAAAGATTATAGTTGATTAAAATCAATGACAAACTTGATTTGGGGGTAGTAACAAAGAAAGCACAGATTAGTAATTTCTGAATAATAAAGTCCATAGACATTAGAGCAGTTTTTTGCCCAAAGTGAATTCTGGAGTAACATTTTATGAATGAGGGATGTTCTAATTATTCATGTAATCAGTGTTTCTGATTTTACAGCTGAACCTAATTGCCATTGCAATTAGTTATTAGTTACCATCAGTAGTGGATCACAATCCGACCCTATGTTTTGATTTTAAGGTAACACAATTAATTCACAAGTTGTGATGCAACACAGTCAGTTGGCATCCTGGAAGAATTGATTTGATGATGCTAGCATGGCTAGCCAATGGAAGCTAGTATCAATTTAATGTGGGAATTAACCCTGGATAAATTTTACCCAGCCCTTTGCACACATGGCGATTTAGAATTTTTGCACTGGTCCAATATTTCTGGGACATAAGATGACTTTTAATAGATGTGTGTAAATGGATAGAGATCCCAGTTTCTCTGGATAATTAAGTCTAGAATAAAAAGGCATGCTTTTGAGTATGTGAAAACAGAAACAAATACCAGAATTCGGTCATAAGGAGAGAGGATTGTATTCAGAGTATAATCAAAGAATGACAATGGAAATGAATAACTGTTTAATTCATTACTTAATTTAATTTTAATAATTAAAGGGTAAGATCTTAAAGGGGAGATATACATAGTAGAAGTAATTTCCTGTTTTCTAAATTGAAATTGTTTCTCCACCAACAAATGCTTTGGCTCTTGTCATATTTGAGGTCTCTGGCATTGATAACCAGCCACTGCAAACTTTAGCTAACCTTTCTCTGTTACTAAAATACTAAACCCACCCCCTACCCCAAGTGAAGCTACGTAATTACTGATATATAAAATATCAGTAAAATCATTGGTGCCGCATAACATTATTCTTTTGTGTTGGTTCATTTTTTTTCCATTCAGTGTGGAATGACCATAGCAAGTTGAGAGTTTCTTATTTTCCTGTCTTTCATGTCTCATTTTTCATAAGATGGAGTAGTGGTCTCTGCCGTCCTGAATTCCAGTATAGCTCTCTTAGCTGAATTGACTGTTGTAATTAAGGAAAGAATACATCACACCAGGTTTGTCCAGAGCTCCTTAGAGTGGCAAGACTGCCTCATTGTAACTGTGGCATTTGTGAATGGTATGGCATAGAAAACACAATCGCTGGAATGGTATGGAAATCTTGTATTGTCTGACGTGTGATCTGCTCCTTATCATAACTGGGTGTGGGGGAGCTGGGATTAGGTGTGAGTGAAGGGCATTACAGATAGAGCAGAGATTGCCTGATGAGTGGGGTTGCCAGATGGTTTCAACAAAAATACTGGACAGTGGACACCCTTGATCAGGGGTCATTTCGTAGAAAAAGAGCTAGGGGAACTCATTAGCATAACTCATTAGCATATGCCACACCCCCTGACATCACCGGAAGTGTGTCATAAGGCCACACACCCCGCCCCCAACGGTCCCGGCCGCCGCCACCGGCCTTGCAGCTCCACTGCCGAGCCCCATGAGGGGCCCGGCGGTGGACCTGCAAGGCCGGCGGGAGTGCAAGGAAGCCCCGCGAAGGCCCTCCCTGGCCCCAGGCAGGCAGGGGTGGGGAGAGGCAGGGAGGAAGCAACTTACCCTCCCACTTCTCCTGCCTCCTCCTGGCTGAATGAGGGCTGGAAGCGGGGCGGCTGGAAGCAGGGGGCGGGGCTTTATCATGTGCCCCGCCCCCGGTACCTCACCCGGGGGGACTGCATTCCCCCGCGATCCCCCCCGAAATGACCTCTGCCCTTGATAAAAGAAATGTGTCAGTCTCCTCCAATACACACACATACACATACACATGTAAACACACATGATAAAAAGAAAAGAATCCTGTCCTTTTAATAGCAGTTTATGTGTGGAAAGGGCTCATTGAAGCTTCTAATGGCGTAGATGTAAATAAGATCCCATTAAGCCTCTGATAAAGGGACAAGACAGTTTTCTCCAGGCAGTTAGCAACCCTAAACAGGATCTACCAAGTCCTAGTCTGATATGCTAAGCACTGCTATACCACACACACACACACACCTTTTAATACATTCAAATATAGAGATTTCTGGGTTTTAAATGGCTCTGTAATGTAGCAGCTGAGGACGCACTTAAAACAAAAGGCTGGTTGTGCACAGTCACATGTCTGAGCCTTTCTGTCCTGCAAGCATCACATTTAAATTACACCTAATATCTTACTTTCCTTTCTCCTAACAGCAAAACAAATCTAGTACAGTATGGTAGTTTAGAATCTAAGTTGTCAATCAAGAAGTTGCAATGGGGTGGGGTAGTAATACTAATGCATGTAAGGGTTTTGTAAGTATTCCATCAATAATGCATGTAATGTGCTTTGTACTTGTTTGACCATGTGAATGCTAAGGTGTTTATTATCCTTATTATCTTTATTATCATTATTATAGAGGAATAATTAG